TGTTCCACTTAGTAACCGATGAGCGAAACTCTAACGGTCCACGGTAAATTCACTAAAACAAAGTTTGCTGGAAATGAGCCGCTCAAAATGCGTATATAGGTATACTGCAAATATATAAAGATTTGTTATGTAGACATTATAGCCTAAAAAATATGGGAAAGCTATAAATTAGAAAAAGTTCTTCATCTCCTAAAGTTAAAATTTGGTAAAGAGTACTAAGCATAGTAAATACTTATGTAACCTACTAGGCGCACTGTGCAATCTTTGTCTAGCAGATTATATATATTATACACATCATGTTTAATTAAATTAAATGTAAACCTTCGAAGATTATAATGAGAAACATACATTTAGTGGTGGTAATGATACTGATCTGTCATCATGTGGGACAAGTGTTAAAGATGATGGCATATCTGGATATTGAAGAGCTTGTCAGCTTTTAGTTTTTCTGTATTTCGTAATATTAATTAAAAAAATAACAGTCACTGTGATGGTTCTTTGGCTCTTCCGGCAAACTTTCCTGAGAACTGCAAAAGACATTGCTTTTCTTCTACTTTATAACCATCCTTCTAAAGTAGTTTGGCAGATTCCACATATCCCATGAAAGAACAATGAATTGTTCTTAACCTCCACGGGCATTACAAAATAATTTGCATACTTTATCCACGATATCTCATGATCTTATATAACACCTATTTCTTGTCAATATCTACATTCAAAACAAAACATTTCAGAAGAACTTTGACATTATTTAGTACCCCCTATAAGAAGCACATAACTTAACTAGTCAGCACAAGTACGTATATAATGCCTATTCGATAAGTTTTTAGAGTAATTAAAGATGTCTATAAAACAAGTTACATTGGTCGTAAGCGCTAATCTTACATGTGAACTTAATAGCAGACTAGCAAAGCGCTTTTGTTTTGTTTTATGAAATATTTTACGACGCGGAAACGAAAAACTTCGTATTTAAATTACCTACTAACCACAGTGGGCCAGAATTCAATTTTAATAGACAAAATTAATAACTAAATAAATATTAGGTCTTTATTTACTAAATTTGGCATAAGCACTAATATGAGTTCTGCGCTTCTTATGAAAGTGACATTTTTATACTTGGTTGCTATTGATACCTAATTTTGCTCAGCTACAAATCTATTTTTGGTAGCTGCAGATGTTTTATGTGCGTTTTATACATTAAAACTAACATTAACATGAGGTTTGCATTAATATGAGGTTTTTATAAGGTGAATATTTACCAATTGGTTGCTATGGTTATCTAGTTTTATGGATACCTAGTTTACATAGCAACAATCTATTATGATAATTGCAGATTTTTTATGAGTGCTAGACTCACTTAATTTGGCACTTCTTTAATTTAGTTGTGAATATTACTTAACAACCAGATACTTTTCTTAGTTGCACATAGATAAATGGATTTTTGAATAAATTTTTATCGGATTTTTAACCGTCCTATTTTAAATAACTAATAAATATTAAATAATTAGGTAAATAATTTTAAGTAAAGATTTAGGTCATTAATAATAAAAACAAAAAATATTGCAATAAAATATTGACAATTCGAAACAAATTAACAAATTAGAAACATACATACATGCATAAAATTAGAAATCATATTTAGGGTGAGTCGACAGCCTGAAGCAAATCACTAACTCATTCTAAGAGTTGATGTTTTGAGTTTTGAGATTTTTTTCTCCTCATGCTGCTGATTATTAGATCTGATTAGCACAAAAGTTGGTATAATACATCACAGTTAATTTTCAAACGACTGCGTGTGCAGTTTTCACAGAAACATTTGAAACACAGAAACATTTGAAATCTGTTTTTCGTGCTTCATGTGCCTACTCAAAGAGCATGCCAATAGAGAATAGTCTTGAGAGAGACAGTTTCCAATTGGAAAATGGTCTTTTCATAGGCAAGACCATTCTCCTCACAACCTCATGTCCGTGTAATAGTATCTTAATCAATTTTTGTGGCATGTAATACCATTAGTAGCTCTGGAGAAACGATAAAGCCTCCTAAAAGAGGCAATCAATCATGTAATTTAAAGCTAAGTTAGCCACAGCTCAGTATATAAATAATATTACCAAATAAACTTACCTCAAGGCAGTACTTTTAAAATGCATCTTCATTAAATGGCGGAGCTGATGACAATGTGGCAAAAATGACGTGCAACTTTTCAGCAGTAGATCATCCAGTTTTAAAATTTCAGCCACAATACTTTAAATTTGGTACATTTAAATAATGAAATAATATTTTTATTAAAATTCTATTATTCATTTATTACAGCTTAAAATGACATTAGCATCTATAACTGTAGCTAAGTATTACCTTTTAAATGTTAAAATGTAATGAAATAGTGTTAAGCTAATTTTTTTTATTTATTTTTGCATAACAATCAATACTGATGTTACATAAAAATAATCAAAAAAATTAGGTATCCATAGCAACCAATTAAAATTATGACTCCCGTAGGGAGTGTGAATCTCATTTTAATACACGTGTTTTATATAGTGTATATGACACAAATAAAAAACTGATAAAATACCCTTAATGTGAAAATAAATTGTTGCTATGTAAAATTTGGTAACATAGCAACCAAATTGCACTCAATTTGTTGCTCGAAAATGTCTGTCTACGTCCATAAAACCAAGTGTGTTGGCTTCCTTACATGTTAAAGAACAGTTTATGGCTATTCATTTGCTGCCCTAACCCGCGCCAAAAAAGATGCGTTTATTTTGGCATATTTAAGTAACAAAATTAAACTTTTGTGTTATACCTATTCTAATGTTCATTTCTTACACCTGGTCTACAGTTTACGCATTATTATCTGTCTTGTAACCTACTTCTTTTTTTTCTCATCTTCAAGAGAAACACACAAAAATTTCCCATGAAATGTTTTGTGAGGCACTAAAATCTTTATTACGGTAGATTATACAGAAAAATTTTAACTTTTTTTAAATGAGCAGAAAATATGAATTATTTAACAATAGAAAATTTACAGCGGGGAAAAATTTTATAAAAATATCCACATTACTGTACAGAAAAAATTTCGGATTCGAATATTTGGATACACATTGTGACTGGTGTAGCGTAAACTATTTTATCCTTGAAGTAAATAATTACGTCAAGGATAATTTATTTTTTATTTTTAAAATCGTATGAAATTTTGTTTCAAATAAAGCATAATCCTTAATTTTTTTCAATGCATAAGATATTTTGTATACACTTTTAAATGAACCCTAAAAAGTTGCTGTCATCTTAGCGTCAATCTATTAGAATAATTCAGTCCTTCAATTAAGACACTTCAGAAAATTTTTATAAACTTCAAAATTCCAACCTTATAAGCACTATTAAAATTTGCTAATCTTTTTTTGTTTTTGACTGGCTGAACAATGAACTAGTGACGGATTCAGAGAGGGATGGGGGATGTGCATTCCCTCCTTTCCCAGAATCTGAAAGTCTGAAAATATCTTTGAAATGGAGGACTTTCTTTTTTTTTTACGATATGCAAATGTGATACAAAACACAAAAATATATAAACATATAACCCCCTCCCAAAAAAAAAAAAAAAAAAAAAAAAATCCTGGATCCGTTATTGAATGAACACAATAAACAATGAATAATGACGGTGTTACGCATAATTAAAATCTTTTTGAATTATCTCAACTTGTAGTAACCCTAAAATTTATTTTAAACAGTTAATTTTTGTTGATAAAAAAGGTTAAAAACTGGTGTAAAGCAAATTAATTTAGGTATTGTGGTTAATCCTCCTCCGGCTGGTTGCCATACAGAGGCTATATTATTAAGGCCCGCAAAGACGAGTTCAGCTCACCAAAGAGAATCATAGCCCGCTTTGCAGACCAAAAGTAAAGTAATTTTGGAAAGAACGAAGGTATAATAGAGTGAAAGTCAGAAGAAGTCAAGTTAGAAAGATAGCATAGAGAAAGCGGGCAGAAATTAACTAGATGTTCGAGTGTGCAATACATACTGTTAATTAGGTCACCTAATTAATGTATGAGAATGTACGATAAACACAAATAAAAATGTAGAGTTTTTTGTGATTTTTTCCGTACATAATTTAGGACATAATTTAGTATAAACCAAGACATGCATGTTTAAATTGTATAATATGCACTCATTGTAATCAAGTTGTCGATATGCATATTACTTGTTTTGTTACTTAAAACAAAAACAAAAATAACAACTCAAGCAACCTAGTATTTGAAATTATAAATTGGAAGCAAAATTTTTCCCGCAAAAAAAGAATAATTTTTTTTCTCTATTCTGACTAACCTATCGGCACAGTCTTGTCCTACCTCACCTACGCTTTAATTGCATTACTAGTTGTGGTATCTTACATTTCCAAAAACATGCAAAAGCTTACAAAAAAACAAAATTTGTTTTTTTAGTAATTCAATAAAAGTTATATAAAGTAAAATTTGATCATTTTTATTACAATATATAAAATTTACAATATTTAAGAACAACTTTTAAATTTTTTAAATGCAACAATGAGGTAGTTTAATAGTTTACTCGTGATTGATGAGAGTTGATATGCTAACTAAAAATAATATAGATATTATTGCACTTAACAAAAACAAAACAAAGGCAATTATAAGTTTTCAAAATGTTTTAACTAAATTTACTCAATGCGGAAGTTATAGTTCCTTGTATTTAGTACTTGTGCTAATTACAAGTAACATTAAAATGTTTTTTTTTTGGAGGGAGGGGGTTCGAAAGAAATTAAAGGTTGCTAATGTGCAAGCGTTTAAAATTTGAAAAAACTTGATAAGATTTATGAGATAGTTATAATATATTTGATAATGAAGTTAGTTCTAAAAAACGTTACTTGTTTAGCATATGTTAAATAAAAAGAAAATACGTTTATTGAGTGAGCGTTTTCCTTTGCAATTAAACCGGATTTTAATTTCAAAACATCAAAATTTATATTTACAGTGTAAATGATGCATTAGTAAATCATTTTAAAATTCTCTTGTGCGGATGTTTACATATATCTTCAATTTCTGGGTATTCATCAAAAATTGACATCTGGTTTCATTGAATGTATTTAAATTTGAATGTCAACCTTAAATTCTTTGCTCAATTTTAATGCACCTATTGTAAGAAGACTTTTAGCATGGAAAATTGGTGATGGCGAAGAACATTGGTCTGAAAAAGCTGTTAAAAGTTTAGTAAAAAAGTTAAAAAAAACAGGAGGATTGGAAGACCTTGAAAAATCAATTTCAAGCAAAGGTATATATAATTTTTATCAATATAAATATATGTCACATTGTAAGATTTTTTGAGATAAATTAAAATAACAATTTAATTTAGGTTGGTGAATTTTTTTTCAAGTTTTAATTTATATATGTTTTTTTTTTAAGTTTAAAATTTGCAAATCTATTTAAATTGTATAATTTTATTAACTCTCTAGTAGTCGAAAATAAGGAAAGATATGTTTTAAAATATATAGAACAATCAAAAAGATACCATATGATAAGGTGTCTTTTAAAAATTTAAATTTAAATGATTTTTTTTAATTTCAAATTTTTATGAGTAGTTTAATTATAAAAATATTAAAAGTAAAAAATTATAATTTTTGTTTTTTTTAATTTTTCTTCAGTTTTAATTGTCAATAAAATTTTATTTAACAAAAAAGCCTAATTAATTTTAATTAAGAATGACATCAGATAGTACAGCCATTATAAAATTATTGATAGTTTCTGATTATAATTCTTTCAATAAATGGTCTCTCTCTTTTTAAAAATGAAACAGGGAAAGTAAGGAATAAACATGGTAAAAACACTTTTATTAATCAAATGCAGTTTCTCTGGATAAACTTCATTCAGAAAATAATTTTTTTTTTATTCTTTTTAAATAGTTTTCAAATCTTACTCTTAATTAGCCAAAAACAAGATGGCAACAGATTTTGTTGCCAATGCAACAAAATTTTAATAGTTGTTTTAATAGTTGTTGCAAAATAATAGAAACTATTAATACAAATAGGATTGTTATAAAAGTAAAAATACAAACTATTGAATTTGTTTTACATTACTTAATTTAACTCAATCATCTAACAAGTATTGAAAATACTGCAACATTATAAACCACTTTCCACCAAGTTATTATTCAGTTAAAAAAATATATGCTGTTTTAAACATAAAATAGTTAATATATTTTTATGAATAAGTTAGAATTAATCATATATTTGTATATATATATTTGGAAAAAAATGTATAAAAATATTTTTTATAGGAAATAATGCAACCAATTGTGTAAAGATTATTAGGAGCTTAGATGGTCGCTTACAAGTTTCGCATCGTAAAGGATTGCCACATGTTATATATTGTCGCCTATGGAGATGGCCAGACTTACAGAGCCATCATGAGCTTCGTGCAATTGATTCATGTGAATATGCATTTAATTTAAAAAGAGAAGAAGTTTGTGTTAATCCATACCACTATCAGCGTGTTGAAACTCCAGGTAAAAAATTTTCATATAGTTTTAATAACTTATTTTGCCATTATATTATATCAGGGCTCGAATAAACACAAAAAAATCTTATTGCTAAAAAAAAAAGTTTTAAAATCCCCCCTCCAACCTTGCTGCTGCTTTGAGGGGGTTGCCATAGTATAAAGTTGTATCTTTTGTACATTAGTTCCTAATAATTATAATTTTTTAACATAATATCTATTTTAATATTTGGCATTTCCAAAAAACTCGTATATGTTTTGTCTGTTATTTTCACAAAAATAAAACTGGCAATTTCCAATTTATTCTCATTTAATTCTAATCTATTCTAATATTTTGTAAACAAAAAATGCTATACATTAGTAGTGTTATCAAAAAAGAAATTAGGTTTAAAGCCAAATCATGCACGGAACAAAAAAAAAGGCAAATTTTTGTGAGTAGATAAATAAACTTAATTCTTCAGAAAATATAAGTTTCAGCAGTATATTTAAAAAAAAAAAAAATATTTTAGATATTAGTAAAGATTTCCAGAAAGTTACCAGATTGCACTAAGTATCATTGAGTGACAGCAATCGTTTAAATGTAGTTCATGAATGATCACTCACAGAAGTCACGCACAGAAGTTGCGAACTTATTGATTTTATTTAGTTATTTTTATGAAAATAATTTGCTTGTGAGTATTTGAAGTGAAATATTATATTTCTACAACTCATATTTGATATATTTTCAATGAGAAATAGCAGTCATCAAGCACTTCTAGCAAGAATATAGCGTTTTGAAATTATTGTATATTATTCAAACTATTGCGACATTAAAAAAAAAATTAAATGATAAAAATATATATATTTAATTCATTCAGGTAGTTAAAAATATGATAAAAACATTTTTGTTATAATTGTTCTTTAAAAACTGGTTATTATAGGCATCACTGCAATTAAATTTACATTTATGTTCAATTTCAAATTTCAATTTAAAAAAGATTTGAATAAGATAATTTTAGAAGACTAAAATTTTCTTGTTTAAATAGATTTCTTGTTTAAAAAAAGTTCCTAAAAACAACTTGTGTATTTATAGAATAAGTTTAATCTTCAATCAGACTTGATATTGCTTTAAATAAAATAAAAGTATAAAAAAAATGATATTCGTTTTTCATATTCTATTCAAGATTTCTTGTTTAAATAATTTTTAGTTATAAGCTTATCATGTGTTAACAACATTTAAGATATAAATAGAAACATCTGTATGGCTAATTTTTGTGAGTCTTTGAGTATATTAAATAAATTTAATAATTCAGTAACTTAATTGTAGTTTACTGTGATGTACCTTTATGATGTTTGAACATAACTGTGATGTGCCTTTACTCTATTAAGTAAATCAAACTATATTTAACTTTAAAATAGAAGTAGGATATTATTGGCTTCCATGCAGAGATTTAAAGTACTTTAAATTCAAAGGCGCTTTATGTTGCAGGAAAGTCTCTGCGCAAGAGAGTAGATACTTCTATTTAAAAGATGAATTTAGCGTGATGTACTTTATGATCCCTAAAAAAAAATTTTGACAAAAACATTTTATACATTTATTCTATAGTTTTAAGAATGGCCAAAAAAATGCTAAATTAAAAATAAATTAAAAAAAAACCTTCATAATTGCCCAGTATATGTAAGTTTTTTAAGCAAAAACAATTAAAATATTATAATATATGTCATAAATCTAATACAGAATTCAAAATAAGCAGCAATATTCTTTAGCCAGGAAATACTATGATTTGTTGGACAATCAAATTTGGAAAATATCAACTAATTGTCATAATGTTTAAAAATATTCATCGTATTTTTATGAACTTTTGACACTTGTGTATAACATAAATTAGGAGAGATTTACACATGTGATATTGTAACAACAACAACAACAACAACAACAAAATACATAAACAAATGTGTTAATAAAAAAATCTGCGCAAGCAGATGTTGACTAATCAACTGATTTTATTATTGACTTTCTGTTTTATTTCTTTAATATTTTAGTTATGCCACCAATACTTGTTCCTCGTGGTAAAATAGCTGTTGATTTAAACATGAAACCAGAGCCTACATTAGAAGAATTTCCTAGGCCAGAAAATAAAACAATATCTGATGATTTCATTGGTATCTTTAGTTTATTGTATAATTATAAAATTATTAAGACATTTTTTATTTGTTTAAAAGGCTTTTGTTAACAAAAGTCAGCTTGCTTTAATCATATATAATTGATATGTATTATTAATCTCATTTAGTTTTTATACAATATAAATTCATGCTCAAATAAATCAAAAATGCTTGATTCTTATTAAAAAGGTCTAATTTATTATATATATATATATATATATATAAATATATATATATATTTATATATATATATATATATATATATATATATATATATATATATATATATATATATATATATATATATATATATATACACACACACACACACACGCAACCCATGGAATTTAGAAAATAGAGGTTGATAATAATTTTCCAACCTCAATCTTTTAGAGGTCGGCAAAGAAAATTTCATACAAAGGTCTTACCATAAAACATCGAAATGAGGTCGGCAATTATTTGCTGACCTTAAACACTTTAAGGTTGGCCGTCAGGTCGACATTGCCAAATATTGACCTTAATTCTGAAGGTTGTATATATATATATATATATATATATATATATATATATATATATATATATATACACACATATGCACATATGCATATACATATATATGTATATACAGGCCTTGCGATGAATAAGAACTGCGCGACGCATAAGCACGACGTGATTTTTGGCGTCATTAAATTCTTTTTATTTGCTTTTCATATTTATCGACATTAACTGCACCAATTTACTTAATTACCGCAAAACTACTTTAAATCGTTTATGTAGAAATGTTATTATTTTAAAATGTTTTGGAATGTTTCGTTTTTTAAAATGTAAAAACATTTGTTTATTTTCTCGACGTTTGTCACGTTTTGTCTAAACGAATAAAAAATATTATAACTTAAATTTAAAATAGATTATAAAATATGCTAATATTTGATTTTTTTTTTCTTAAATATGTAATTTAAAATTTTTCAAATAATTATTTTTTCTTTTTAAAAAGTCAGCGAGTAATAAACTGGAAATTTTAATATTGTACGAATAAAAACTGTGCAATAGCTAATATTTTTACAAGCGATTTTATATAATATTTATTTATTTATTTTTATTTATTTTCATAAAGCGGTTGATAAGCACAATCACTCGTATTAATAAAAAACTTAAACGAACGTTTTGAATAGATTTTTAATGTTAACAAGGAATTTTATTTCTAGTAAAATAAAATAAAATGTTAGAATAAAAATCTTATAGGTATAAAAGAAATATTTCAGCGAAAAAATTATTCTTAAAAATTATTATAAAAAAATTATTATTAAAAATTATTCGAAAAACTATTGACGTTCTATTTTTCTGCAGCTGTTCTTGAGCACGCTTCCATGAGTTTCACATAAAAGCGATCGTTATTATTTAAGTAATTTTTTTGAGTTACTTGTTACAAAAATTTTAATAACTGTACTTTTTTTATTGAATCAAGTAGAATACGTTTTAATATTAATCCTTTTTTTTTATTTTATTTGCGCTCACCAATTTTTAAAATGTTTCCTCGAAATTACTCTTACATACTTTAAATACGTCTAACAGTTAATAAATATTTTTAAATCTAAGGAATAATTTTAAAACCTAACAAACCCCCGTAAAATAATTATTTAAGTTTAAAATC